CTATCTCGCCCTCATTAGGGCACCTAAAAATGTAAGGAAGAAAACGGTGCCTTTCACACAGGTGTCCAGGAGATAAAATAGTAGCCTGGGCCAGAGGGTCGGAGCGCCCCGGAGCACTGAGCGGCCCAGCAGTGCTTCTTGTGTGGAAGGTGATATGGCTTGGCTAAGGAGATGTCAAATGTATTTTAGCTAAGATTAATGTCGTTATACTTGCTTCAAAGTAAAGTTGCAGCTGTGCCTTGTAACTCCTACGGAACTCATCTAAGGAAAGGCGAGAATTCCCAAAACCTCCCAGACCATGTCAGCCCAAGACAAGATTGTACCATGGTTAGGACTAACGCTTTTTTGCTTCTGTAACTGTGCTTATGCAAGCAGTTAGATGATTTATCAGTGTGTGGTTTTTGTCTTTAAAAGAGCCGGCCTCTCCTGGCTCGAGACTGCTCTCTGTGCAGCCATCTGTGGCGGTGCAGAGGGTAGTTGCTGGCCAGCTAATAAAGACTCATAATTTGGCTCAGTTTCGGTCTTAAGTGGTCTTTTCTCGCACTTCAAACCATAACACTCCCCGCCCTCCCCTGACCTCTGAGGGTTGCTCAGCCCCTCCGGCCAGCGCCCTCCCTCCAAAACGGGGCTGGAGCTCTGTGCACCTCCCTGAAGCCTACTTCCTCCGGACTGGCTGGGTGGCCCGCTAAGCCACCACCCCTCCCTGGCCTCTGCGGAGTGGAGGCGGGGCTTGGCAGCGGCCTTCTCCACACTCCAAGCGGAGGTGCAGGCAGGCGGGGAGGACACGCTTCCGGGTGTCTTTAAGGCTTTCAGCGTCTTCTCTTCCACTGCCCCGCGCCGTGCGCACCACGTGCGCGCTCACACACTCACGCACTCACACGCACGCGTACGCACAGTCACGAGATGCACTCACGTGGCTCAAAAGCCATCCTTATCTTGTTGCGATTCGCTTTTCAGTGTGGCTTCCCCTCGCCTCTCGGCACCCCCGTCACATGCCTGGAGAGCCCTGAACACACCCCATCTCCAGTGCCTCCAGGGCTTCCCTCTGCTAAGAGCACCAGCCGGGATTCAGGGTCACTTTGCCCCTCTCCTGGCCAAAAAACGTTCCTCATCAGTACAGCTGAGAGCACTTCCGGGTTTTCTTTTCTTTTTTCTCTCTTTTTTATTTTTTGCCGCCTTTACGCTTCTTAGTCCAGCCTGCCGGAGTACTGCAGAGACAGAGTCATTTCAGTCGACGGCAGTGGATCACAAGAGCAAAACCCCAGTCTCTTCCTTAGGCCACGCCACCTCCTCCTCCAAACAAAGGTTTTAAGTCAGTAATTATTTTTTGCCGCTTTTACGCTTCTTAGTCCATCCTGCCGGAGTACTGCAGAGACAGAGTCATTTCAGTTGACAGCGGTGGATCACAAGAGCAAAACCCCAGTCTCTTCCTTCGGCCAAGCCACCTCCTCCTAATCGCCCCGCCCACTGACCTGGCGTCATCCAGGCTGCGCTGTGTACGTCATCTGCGCGCGCCGTTCCGTTCGCCGTGTGTGTCTGCGGCTGCTTGAGGGTCCGCGTGATTTTGCGCGAGTGACCCAGAACGGTCCCGGTTAGGGAGCTGGCAGAATCCAATTAATTGTGCTTGAAGCCGGGGTGTCTCGGCGGACCCTTGGGGCCCAGCGGAGGTAGGTGAAGGCGGCTTACATTGAGGGTAGCTTAGACTCACATCCAGCCTTCTTGGTATCTGGCATGCTCTTCTGGCGCTTCCTAGGCTCCGTAGGAGAACGGCTAAATTCTTTAACCGACCTCTTAGGTTCTTTGCAGTTTGGCTCGACCTAGATTTT